TGGTGAGGGATTTCCTATCAATGATGATAGCTGCACTTGGCATGGGGCTTGGCACATGAGAGGTGCTTAATAAACATTAATTGATTGATTAAATGACAAAATATGATGTTCCTTTTTACAGGTGACATTGTACTAATTGCATCAAACACTGAAATATTACAGAACCTCTTAATTGGCAATGCCATTCATTCCAAAGAGTTCAGTCTAAAGCCACACAGTTAAAACCAAGTGGATATGGATTTGACAGGCTTTTAAATGAACAACCTATAGAGGTGGTCTATCAGTATACACACACACACACACACACACACACACACACACACACACACACACATATGGGTATAAATGGACCAAGAATTGAACAGGAGAAAAACAGACTAGATTGCTTTGCTAAATTGTGTGGTACTTTTAATGCCCAAGATTCTCAATAAAACAGGGTTTTAACATCAATATCCTTCTGTATTGTTATACAGCTGTGATTCCTGGAATACCATGGTCTCTGAGAAATTAAAGCTATAGGTCACCTGAAATGCAACGAAGAGTTACAATATGGACATGAGCAGGCTGAAAAATTTGATCAACCAAAAATAGCTCAAGAGCAATGCTCTATTGTGAAAGTGTCATAAATGAAGCCCACACCACTCCCAAGTATAGCCCAAAGCAGATTAAAATATAATTGGGCAATATTTAACAATATAAATAAAAATACAACAAAACATAGATAATATTACATTTTAAAACAAAGTCAATATGCAGCCTGCAAGGATCCAAATATATGGTGGAGTGGCCTATTTTTCATTTGCGTTCAACACCACTGCTCTAAAGAATACTGTTGTGAATATCATTGTACCATAAGAAATGACAAAGGAGATGGTTTCACAGGAAACTGAGAAGATATTTGTGAACAGGTACAAAGTGAAGTGAGCAGAACTAGGAGAACAATTTATACAATGATAACAACATTATAGAGAAAAACATCTTTGAAAGACTTTAGAACTCTGATCAATGCACTGAAAAACCGCAAGTTCAAAAGGCTGAAAATTTAATACACCATTGACTTCCTGCCAAATAAGTGATGAACTTACAATGCAGAAATAGATATACATCTTTGGGCATAGTCAATGTGGGAATTTGTTTTATTGAAATATGTCTATGTAGGATAAGACTTTTTTTTTTTCAGAGGGACTGGGGGAGACAGTGAAAGGGATATACTATAAAAGCATGTATAAATAAATAATTTTATAAGGGTATTATCAGAGAAATGTATGACATGAAAAGGTGACAAGATCATGTAGTAGGAACTGTAGGACCAGCAGACAACAATAAGTATATTCCAATCATAACCACACAATATGGAGAGATCCAGAAGAAGGCCCCAAGTCTATTGAGAGGAGCCTCTGTACAGTAATCATAGGAGAACCTAGATAAGAACCACATTAGATGAGAAGGTATAAATGGGTTGTGATCTATACCTTTGGAAGGACTACCCACATATACGAAATCATGGACCTCCTATCAAAATACTGAAATATTAACAAGCTGAAGGAAAGGAGACTAGTATTTTGAAGGAACTTTAAACCAGGACCTATGAGGGTCAGAAATTACCTTCATATGTAATGAGAGTGATGAAAGTATTTGGGATATTTAGCTTGAAGAAGAGAAGACTTGCCAGGGGAACGAGGGGTTTTCAAACATGTGAAGATATGTCATACAGAAAAAAACCATACATTTTGCTTAGCCCCAGAAAGTAGAGTAAGGGATAATGCGTAGAAGTTTCTCAAAGGGAGATTTCTCACCCAATATAAAGAACATTTCCCTAACTCAAACTGTCCAAAAGTAGAATGGGTTCCTTGGTAGATAGTCATCACTGGAGGTCTTCAAGTAGAATCGACATGACAATGTAACAGGAATACTAATAGAGGGAACTTTTGGTCAGGTATGAATTAGATTAGCTAGTCTCTGACGTTTCTTTCCAACTCATATTCAATCATTCAGCCACAATGGTAATTCTCTAGAATTTGTGTTTATTTCTACAAGAGATTGCTAAGTAGCATAGTAAATAGATAACTAGGCCTGGAGTCAGGAGTTCATATTTAGCTTCAGACCCCTAGCATCTGTGTGACATTGTGCAAGTCACTTAACTTCTGTCTGCCTCAGTCTCCTCAACTATAAAATGGGGATTATAACCCTTATGGTCTTTTGTGAGGATTAAATGATATAATGTTTGTAAAAAACCCTTAGCACAGTGCCTGGAACATAGTAGGTGCTTTAAAAAATGCACATTCTCTCCCTCCCACAAGTTGTAATTGGTTACACATGCACACACGCATGCATACATGCATGCACACACACACACACACACTGTAATTGGTTGTACCCACACACATACACATCTGTTATGTTTTATTTCCAATTTTTATAAAGTATTCCTAAGGATATGTCCCTTTCTTTCTGATGCCCTCCAAAGAATAAAACATATGATTCTACATGGCCAAGTCATGCTGATAATAAGAGCAGTGATGAAGGCAAATGGAAATATTGTCACAGAACCTTTTTCTGCACATAGTTAAGCAAACTGGCATTTTATTTTGATTTTTCTATTCATTGTTTCATCCCATCATGCTTTCTCAAAGAAATCTGATTCTAAAGTAGCAGCATCTGAGGAATGGGCAATCCACAAATTCTCATATATGGGCATGAAAATAATGTAGACCCAGAATTTCTGACCAGAGAAAGAAAATAAAAAAAGTTCAGGGCAACAAAGTCAATGATCTGACCTGGCTTCTGAAGTCAAGGAAGGCAATTTAAAAGGTCAGTAAACCTAAGCTGAAGAAGGGTTCTTCAGAGCCACCAAAGATTGATCAAGGTATTATTCAGTGTCATACCAATCAAATTACCAAAAATTTATCTTATAGACCTAGAAAAAAATAATAACAGAATCATTTAGAATAACACAAGGTCCAGAATATCAAGGGAACTAACGAAAAGAAATGCAGGGGAAGGTGGCTTAGATGTTCCAGATTTTAAATTGCATTATAAAGCAGCAATCATCAAAACTACTTGGTAGTGGTTAAGAAATAGAGTGGTGGATCAGTGGAATAGGTTAGGTATGCAAGACACAGTAGTCAAAGACCATAGTAATCTACTATTTGATAAACCCAAAGACACCAGCTTCTGGGATAAGAACTCAGTCTTTGACAAAAACTGTCAGGAAAACTGGAAAATAGTATGGCAGAAACTAGGCATAGACCAAAATCTCACACTACTTACCTAAATAAAATCAAAATGGATTCATGATTTAGATATAAAGGCTGATACCATAAGCAAACTGGGAGAGCAAGGAATAGTTTACCTGTCAGCTTTATGGAGAACAGAAGAATTTATGACCAAACAGGAGATAGAGAACATTATGAAATGCAAAATGGATAATTTTGATTACATTAAATTGAAAAGTTTTTGGACAAACAAAGCCAATGGAACCAAGATTAGGAGGGAAGCAGAAAACTGGGAAAGAATTTTTACAACCAGTGTCTCTGATAAGGGCCTCATTTCTAAAATATATAGAGAACTAAGTCAAATTTATAAGAATACAAGTCATTCCCCAATTGATCAATGGTCAAAGGATATGAACAGGCAGTTCTCAGATGAAGAAATTAAAGCTATTTGTAGTCATATGAAAAAATGCTCTAAATCACTACTGATTAGAGAAATGCAAATCAAAATAACTCTGAGGTACCACTATCAGATTGGCCAACATGACAAAACAGGAAAATGATAAATGTTGGAGAAAATGTGGGAAAATTGGAACACTAATGCATTGTTGGTGGAGTTGTGAAATGATTCAACCATTTTGGAGAACAATTTGGAACTATGCCCAAAGGGCTATAAAAATGTGCATACCCTTTGACCCAGCAATGCCACTTCTAGGGCTGTATCCCAAAGAGATCATACAAATGGGAAAAGGACCCACATATACAAAAATATTTATAGCAGCTCTTTTTCTGGTGGCAAAGAAATGGAAGTTGAGGGGATGCCCATCAATTGGGGAATGGCTGAACAAGTTGTAGTATATGAATATAATGGAATATTATTGTACCATAAGAAATGATGAGCAGGCAGACTTCAGAAAAACTTGGAAAGACTTGTATGGAATGATGTTGAGTGAAATGAGCAGAACTAGGAGAACGTTGTACACAGTAACAGCCACATTGTGCGATGACTAACTTTAATAGATTTAGTCCTTCTTAGCAATACAAGGATCTAAGACATCTCCAAAAATCTCATAATGGAAAATGTTATCCACATCCAAAGAAAGAACTATGGAGTTTGAATGCAGATCGAAGCATACTATTTGCTCTTTTTTTTCTGTTTTTTCTTTTTTGTTTGTTTCCTCTTTCTTGTGGTTCCTCCTACTGGTTCTAATTCTTCCTTACAACATGACTAATGTGAAAATATGTTTAATAGGAATGTATATGCATAGCCTATATCAGATTGCATGCCATCTTGGGAAGAGAGGTGAATAGGGAGGGGGAGAAAAATTTAAAACTCAAAAGCTTATGGAAGTGATTGTTGATAACCCAAAATAAATTAGTTTTTAAAAAATTGATCAAGGTAAATTGGGCTACCTATGACACCAAGAAAACTTTGGTATATTGGCTATTCCACCAGACATTGAGTCAGAAGGACTAATATGGATGCTGGAGATAGAAATAAACTATGACGTAAACTCTTCTCAAGTTCTTTATAACACCCCGCTGAAGGCTCAAACATAATGTGTCTATGACAAATGGAGACAGGACCAGTAACCAAATCCTGTAGTCATTTGCATTCCCAGTCTCTCAAGTTGTGGTCATGTGATAAGCAAATTTAGAAAAATTGTGAACAATCATTAGCTGAGTTCAATAAGCAATAGGTACCTTGAGCATCTGTTAGCCAGGGGACTATGAAGCAAATGTGAACTGGAAATTCAATCTGAGAGTGAAGTCAAGGACATCAAAAAAATGGAAAGAATAACTAAGGATTACACAGATAATGATATATCTGAACCTTTCCTGTTCATCGCTTTAATAGTCCCAGGAATTGAGTGCATCACCGGCATGATTGGGAATGGTTTCATTGTGACCACAAATGCTGTTGAGTGGTTCCGGAGCAAAATACTCTCCACTAGTGATTCTATTTTGACGATTCTGAGCTGTTCAAGGCTCTTGCTACAGTTTTGGTTGATGGTGGAAAATACTTACAGCTTATTATTCCGACTTTCTTACAATCAAAATACAACGTATAAAGCTTTCAAAGTTATCTTCATGTTCCTGACCTATTCCAACCTCTGGTTTGCTGCTTGGCTCAGTGTCTTCTATTGCATCAAGATTGCCAACTTCACCCATCCCTTATTCCTCAAGTTAAGGTGGAGAGTCACTGGATTAATGCCTTGGCTCCTCTGTCTATCAGTCCTCATTTCTTTTTTCTGCAGTCTTCCTATTTCAAAGGATGTCTACAATGTTTATGTTAACACTTCCATCCCAGTTTCCTCTTCCAATGCCAAAGAAAAGAAATACTTTACAGAGACTAATGTGGTTAACTTTGCTATTATCTACAACCTGGCTATTTTCATTCCTCTAATCATGTTTATCTTTGCCGCTACCCTACTGATCATCTCTCTCAAGAGACACACACTACAAATGAAGAGTAACGCCACAGGTTCCAGAAATCCCAGCATGGAAGCTCACATGGGGGCAATCAAAGCCATTAGTTTCTTCTTCCTCCTCTATATTTTCAACTTTGTGGCTTTGATGCTCTATATGGCCAATGTCCTTAATACCAATAGCTTTGGAAATGTTCTGTGCAAAATTATGATGGCTGCCTACCCTACTGGTCACTCAGTTCTCCTTATCTTTGGCAACCCCAAATTAAGGAGAACCTGGAAGAAGCTTCAGCACAATGTTAAATTCAACCTAAAAGTTTGGAAGTAGTAAATAGTACCCAGAGAATTCAACAGGGACCTGATCCAACCAACAAGTCTGGTCTTTTCCTCATACAATCTTCAGTAACTTCTATTGCTTTTAGGACAAAATACTCTCTTCTCTGCCTAGTATTTAAAGTTCTGCAAAGTCTGTCTCCAACTTACTTTTCCACACTTATCTTACACTACTACCCTCCATGCATTCCATATTTCAACCAAATTGGCCTACTTTCTATGCCTAGAATTAGATATTCCATCTCCCACCTACATGTTTTTGCACTGGTTGTGCCCATTCTTGCAATACACTCCCTACTCACCTCTATGTCTTCAAATCCTGTTTCCTCCCAAGATTAGCTAAAGTTACACCTCTTTTGGGAAGCTTTTTATGATATCACTAGTTACAAGTACTTTATTCCACCTCAAATTATCTTTTATTTACATAGATGTTTGCATATTATTTCCCCAAGAGAATGTAAGCTCCTTGAGGTCAGTGATGAGTTCTTATTTTAGTCTCTTGAATGTCTCATGTCTAGCACAGTGTCTTGCACATAGTAGGTACTTAATAAAAGCTTGGTGAATTGAATTGCATTCCTCCTACCTCCAAGGAATCTCTAGCTATCTGAGAGCCAGGGAGTAGAATCAGACTCTTTTTTTAAATCATAATTATGGTTTTAAAATGTTGAGGAGATGTCACTGAACCTACAAGCATAAGTACCTTCCTCCTCAAAATAAAAAAAATGTTGACCCTTAAGACTAAACTCTTCAACCCTAAATCCTTAAGCAAATACCTCAGAAAGGATTTTTTTATATTTTGTGATCTCAAAACAAAGAAACAACCAAACCCTTGCATTCCACATTACCACCACCAGGCTTCCACACCACCCCAACTCCAACCCTCCCCTCCCACACACACACAATGTACAAGCTACTTAGACAATGTTTAATTGAAGTAGAAGTATCAGGAAAATAAAATATTTAGGGAGCCTTTTTGCTTCAAATAGTTTTTGATAAAATTACTATTTATTGGGATCATATTTAAGCTCAGTACAGTTATGTCAGGGAAATGTAAGCTCTGGTTCTCCCAAGGTGGAAAGGCTTTGGGTATGGGTCATGGACCATGTGCTTTTTATCCAAGGACTAACCCTAGCTGAGTCTGAAGAGACTTATTTTGGGGATGTCTGCAGTGATGAAATTTTCTGTCGTAATACTAGAGGAACAGCTATTGAGTTGCTGCAATCTGTGTCAGTGAAAAGCATCTATCACCACAATGAAATCGTCAGTCCTGGAAGTCTCTGAGTAAGTACATGTAGTACAAAAAGGCAGCTAGACTGTTCAGATTTTTTTTCCTAAGAAAACAGCCAATGTTTTTTCTAAATGCTGACACACCAACAAAGGGCTAACCTATGTTAGAACATGGTTCTCTTCTTTCAAATCCTAGCCCCATTGTCTCCACTATAAGGGTGTCCCTCAGCATCCCAGCTGAGACATTGTGGCAGAGTAGATAGAGTGTTGGACTTAACAGTCGGGAAAATTGGCATTCAAATCCTGCCTCTGATATTATCTGTATGACCCAGAGTTAATTACTTAACTTCTCTGGGCCTCAGTTTCCTCATCTATGAAAAACATATGTCTACTTCTAGTTTTAAATCTCTTAAATGTAGTCTCTGAGTCCCTTCTAGCTTTAAATCTATGATGCTATGAGCTCTCCCTCCTCAAACTTTCTTAGACCACTTTGTCTGAATCTCTCTTTATCATTATCGTATTCCAACTCCTATCCTATTAATTATTGCACATACATATCAGACTGCTACCAGCATCCCCATTAGACATCTTAAGTCCTTAATGGCACAGACTACATCATTTTTTCCTCTTTTCATCTCTAGTCCCTGGCATTCTGCTTTGCACATAATAGGCACTTAATACATATTTGCTGAATTCAGTTGAATTAAATATGTGTATCCTTACTTAAATGAGGTTTCAGAACCACCACAGAATAACACAGAACATGGCCATTAATTTGAAATGTTCCAGGAAAGGAGCACAAATAAAACTTCTAGCATTCTGATTCAAAAACAAACAAACAAAAAAACAAAATTCTACAAAAACTGTCAGATCTATCAGAAAACATTGTCAGTATGAGTTACATAAAATTGTAAAAATTCTGCCCTAGAATTGCCACCACATTTAATACTGTTCCATTTACCTCTCCATCTCTTTCTTTAAAGTACCCTGGGGGGAGGAGGAGGTCAGAGAGAGGAGGAAACAGGACTTAGAGGATCTCCTGTCCTGAAGAAAATGACTTCTGGAAGAGATGGCAGTAGGAGCAGCTAGGTGGCACAGTGAATAGAGCACAGGACTTGGAATCAGGAAGACTCATCTTCCCTGAATTCAAATACATCCTCAGATATGTACCAGCTGTGTAACCCTGGGCAAGTCACTTAACCCTGTTTGCTTCAGTTTCCTAATCTGTAAAATGAGCTGGAGAAGGCTATGGCACTCCAGTATCTTTGCCAAGAAAACCTCAAATGAGGTCACGAAGAGTTGGACATGACTGAAATGACTAAACAAAAGTAGCAACAAGGAACTAGCAATTCCAAATCTTCCCATGTAGGAATATACAGTTTGACTTTAGTAAGTCCCTTATGATTTCCCTTTCCTATTTACCTTTTCATGCTTCTCTTCAGTCTTGTATTTGAAAGTCAAATTTTCTATTCAATTCTTATCTTTTCATCAAGAATGCTTGAAAGTCCTCTATTTCATTGAATATCAATTTTTCTCCTCAAGAATTACATTCAGTTTTGCTGGGCAGATGATTCTTGGTTGTAATCTTAGCTCCTTTGATCTCTGGAATATCATATTCCAAGCTCTCTGATCTTCTAATATAGAAACTGCTAAATCTTGTGTTATCCTGACTGTGGCTCCACAATACTTGAATTGTTTCTTTCTGGCTACTTATAATATTTTCTCCTTGACCTGGGAGCACTAGAATCTGGCTATAATATGCGTGGGAGTTTTCATTTTGGGATCTTTTTCAGGAGGTGATCAGTGGATTCTGTCAATTTCTATTTTACCCTCTGGTTCTAAAATATAATGGCTGTTTTCCTTGATAATTTCTGAAAAGATGATGTTTAAACTCTATTTTTGATCATAACTTTCAGGTGGTTCAATAATTTTTAAACTATCTCTCCTGGATCTATTTTCCAGGTCAGTTGTTTTTCCAATGAGATATTTCACATTGTCCTCTATTTTTTTCATTCTTTTGGTTTTGTTTTATTGTTTCTTGATTTTTCATAAAATCATTAGCTTTCATTTATTAAATTCTAATTTTTAAGGAATTATTTTCTTCAGTGAATTTTTGCGCCTCTTTTACCATTTAGCCCATTCTGTTTTTTAAGCTGTTTTCTTCAGTAATTTTTTGTGTCTCCTTTAACAAACATTTGACACATTTGTAGTGATTTCCTTGCATCACTCTCATTTCTCTTCCCAATTTTTTCTCTACCTCTCTTACTTGATTTTTGAAATCCCTTTTGAGCTTTTGCATGGCCTGAGACCAATTCATATTTTTCTTGAAGGTATTGGATGTAGGAACTTTGACTTTGTTATCTTCTTCTGAGTGTGATCTTCCTTGTCACTATAGTAACTTTCTATAGTCAAAATTTTTTCTGTTGTTTGCTCATTTTCCCAGCCTACTTCTTGACGTTTAACTCTTTGTTAAATTAGGGCTCTGTTTCTGGGGTGGAAGGTGCACTGTCCCAAGCTTCTGGGGGTTTGTGCAGCTGTTTTCAGAGATACTTCTAGGGACCAAGGTGGTATGATCTATGGAGAGGTGTGTTTACTACTCTCCTGGCCTATGCTCTGGTCTATGAGCAACCACAAGAACTCTTCTTTTTTCTTTTTTTTTTAAGGTTGAAAATATTTAATTATTTCCCACAGTGACTTTTTCTTTCCTTTCTTGTTTTTTTCCTCTTAATAGCATTTTATTTTTTTTCCAATTACATGTAAAGATAGTTTTCAACATTTACTTTTATAAGATTTTGAGTGCCAAATTTTTTTCTCTCTCCCTCCCTCCCCTCCCCCTTCCCCAAGATGGCAAGCAATATAATATGGGCTATACATGTACAATCATATTAAACATATTTCCACATTAGTCATGTTATGAAAGAAGAATCAGAACAAAAGGCGAAAACCACAAGAAATAAAAAAAAAAGTGAAAATAGTATGTTTTGATCTGCATTCAGACTTCATAGTTCTTTCTCTGGATATGGATAGAATTTTCCATCATGAGTCTTTTGGAATTTTCTAGATCGTTATATTGCTGAGAAGAGCTAAGTCTATTATAGTTGATCATCACTGTGTACAATGTTCTCCTGGTTCTGCTCACTTCACTCAACATCAGTTTATGCAAGTCTTTCCAGGTTTTTTCTGAAATCTGCCTACTCATCATTTCTTATGGTACGATAATATTCCATTACATTCATATACCACAACTTGTTCAGCCATTCCCCAATTGATGGGCATCCCCTCAATTCTTTGCCACCACAAAAAGAGCTGTTATAAATATTTTTGTATATGTGGGTCCTTTTCCCATTTGTATGATCTCTTTGGGATACAGCCCTAGAAGTGGTATTGCTGGGTCAAAGGGTATGCACATTTTTATAGTCCTTTGGGCATAATTCCAAATTGCTCTCCAAAAAGGTTGGATCAGTTCACAACTCCACCAACAATGAATTAGTGTTCCAATTTTCCCACATTTTCTCCAACATTTATCATTTTCCTTTTTTGTCGTATTAGCCAATCTGATAGGTGTGATTTGGTACCTCAGAATTGATTTGATTTGCATTTCTCTAATCAACAGTGATTTATAGCATTTTTTCATATGACTATAGATAGCTTTGATTTCTTCATCTGAAAATTGCCTGTTCATATCCTTTGACTATTTATCAACTGGGGAATTATTTGTATTCTTATAAATCTGACTCAATTCTCTACATATTTTAGAAATGAGGCCTT